CCTTCACAGCCGCGCTCCTGGCACTTACTCACCCACAAGGTCATCTGTGACATTGTTCTGTGTTCCCTCTGTTGCCAGTGGAATGTGCCAACCCCTTCGAAATCCAGCACACGTTACGAATCACCAGGACAGACAGGAGGGAGGATGCTCCCCGCCCACGATTAACAACAAAATCCACGCGGGTGATCGTGCGCGCACGTGTTCCCGAGCCCGGGCCTGTGCGTGGGCCACGAGCTGCTTAGTGGGGTCTTCTGTGGGAAATGGGTTTCTTTGGCATGAGCAGCTCACCTCGTTAGCCGAATTGCTCGTTTCCACTCTGCGGATGGCTCTGGGGGCAGGTCTGACTTTGGTGTGGCCTCACGAACAGCGTGGCAAAAGAGGAGCATTTGTAAGAACTTTTCTGTGTATTTATGACGCTTCAATGAAAAGTATACAAATAATAAAGCTTAGGCCGGGCGCGGTGGCTCACGCCTGTAATCGTAGCACTCTGGGAGGCCGAGGCGGGCGGATCGTTTGAGCTCAGGAGTTCGAGACCAGCCTGAGTAACAGTGAGACCCCCATCTCTACTAAAAATAGTAAGAAGTTAACTGGACAGCTAAAAATATATAGAAAAAAATTAGCTGGGCATGGTGGCGCATGCCTGTAGTCCCAGCTACTTGGGAGGCTGAGGCAGGAGGATCGCTTGAGCCCAGGAGTTGGAGGTTGCTGTGAGCTAGGCTGATGCCACGACACTGTAGCCCAGGCAATAGAGTGGGCTAAATAAGTGGCAAAATAAGTAAGTAAGTAAATAAATAAATAAATAAATAAAGCTTAATTAATTTTAACAAATAAGTCAAGAAATAGAATGCGACCAACACCTCAAAAAGCCCTGTTAATGCCAAATAGCAAATCATTTAAGTATAAAAGGAAAATTCCAATTAAGTAACTTCTTGATTTCTACAGGGCTTATGAGAATTTACTTTGTGTCACCTCTTAGTCTAAGAGTGACGCATCTTTTATTTCTCTTTGGTGAATGTTGCACCTGAGGCTGACGTTCCCTTCAGAGAAATCCTGCCCACCAGGAGGATTGTGTCGGGGTTTGGTTAAAGATCTATATTAGATGCAGAGAGAGCACTTATGCATCTATTAGCTATGATGTTGAGTTCTTCACATTGATCTCTCTTTGCTTTTTAAAACAACAGCTTTGGCAAGTATGCAGTTGTTGTTACTCCATTTTGCAGATGAGGAAGCTGAACCTCAGTGATCACACGCAGCGAGTAAAAGATACAGGATTTGTACATGTGTGTGTTTGAATGAAGGTTTCGTTTAACGCCACTGCGCTGCTAATTGCAAACTCCGGTGTCAGAGGCCCACGCTTACATTCATTGAATTTGCCAGGGCCCTCCTAAGCTTTGGATTTTCGCTGTGGCTCACAGCCTAGTAGGAAAGAGGCTGAGAAACCCTGGCGAAGCTCAGTGCAGACCTTACTGCAGTCTCCCCAGAGAACGCCCAGGGGCCAGAGGATGTGTGTCAATCGCCCGGCCAAACTCCCTGAGAAGCCTGGCTCTGTCTGTGGCTCTCTCTGGACCTGCCACCTGGGCGGCAGCTTCTCTCTCGTGCCCCAGGCTCGGTGGGGTCTCGATTTCCTCTCTCCACTCTTGCCCCATTTCTGGACCTCACTCCTCTCTCCCTGAAACGTTTTCTTTTTGAGCCTAGATTTTCTCAAACTTCAAGCATTCAAACATTCCCTGTATGATTTTATCATGTCCATGTTCCACTTCTTTAATCTTTTTGTCATAGTCAACTCACTTGTTTTTTTTCCAAATACTACTCAAGTCTCAAATGACACTAGTTAAGAAATTCTGAATTTCATAAACACCATGATATATATTTAGACATGTCACATAAATACACATCAAAATATTCAAATTGTTGTTTACTTGGAAATTTTATTCTATTGAAATTTTAAAGAGTTGACACGTGTTGGCGTGTGTCCTGTCAGGCCGTCTTGCACGCCTCTGGTGGAATTCCCTCTGCACTTCGGGAAATGCCGGACTAAACTTTCACCTCTTCCGCTCCCCATCACTAGTGACTGCCATTTGCAGGAACCTCAGGGAAGAGGGGCAGGTGACTTGCAGGCAACTTCAGGAATTTCTGGAGGCAGGCAAGTGGAGGGAAAGGGGCTGTAAAGTGCATAGGTTAATCATTTTTGGATGTTGTTACACTTCATTTACTCATCGCAACCTCCTGCTGCCGGGTAAGCAGGTGGAAGCCCATTTTACAGGTGAGCAAACGAGGCTCCCAGAGGTGAAGAGACTCACCTAAGGATTCACACCCAAATCTGACTCCCCCAAAGCCTTTTTCCCCCTTGCTGCCACGACAGCCCAGACCTGAGTGTCCTTACCTGTTGGTTTCTATCTACATCTCTGGGACCACTGGAGGGAAGCGAGTTCAAGGCGTAAGTACTTCACTGCGGTGATTCCGCCTTGGGGATGGGGGCGAAATGTGACAAGTGAATTAACACGTGGATTAAATCACGATGTGCTTCTCATTTGAGAAATCAAGCATTTTCAAACCTGACCATCCTGTTGCTTAAAATGTCCAGTGGGTTCCCAAACGAGGATCTGAGAAGGTGGTCGTGGAGGAGACGGTGACACCCCAACGTTCAGGGTCGTTCACCAGAGACCTGGAGGCTGGGGAAAGACGTCTGTGGACTGTGACTTACCGCTCTGATGCACTCCCAGGGCCACCCACAGTCTTTGGAAGATTATAGCAAACTGTGCTGTGATCTTTATGACATCTCTCTGGAGACTCTGTTAGGAGCATCTGGACTCACGAGTGGTAGGAACATGCACCAGAGTCTCTGTCCATGGCAGCACATGGCTCTGATGTCCTGGGCTTCCAGCTCCACCGTCCAGACTGTCCCCACGAGAGGGGACAGGGCCCGGGCTTGGATTGGGGGGGGGAGGTTCAGCAGCCAGAGTTTGAGTCTCCACTTCTCTACCTGCTGGCTGAGTCCCCATAGACAAGCTCCTTAACCTCTTTGAGTTTCAGACGCCTCACCTGTAAAATCAGGATAATCACAGGATCTGCCGTGTCGGGTTATGGAAAGGGTCACGGGAGGAAGTGCCTGTAAAATTCTTAGCGCCGTCCCTGGCATGGGGTCTGCTCTCTACGTGAACAAGCACTTTTGGCTTCTCATTATGTTCGTTTCAAAGTCTCCTGTGCCCTTGCTATTTAAAATGTGGGTCCCAGACCAGCAGCCACGTCCCTGGGGGGTCGTCGGGGCCAGAAATGCAGAATCTTAGCCCCAGCTCAGAACTGCTGCATCGGATTCTGCCCTTAGGCAAGACGCCAGGTGGTTCTCGTGGGCACTCCGGTTTGGAAGCGTCACTGTGAGCTAAAATGTATAAGGAGGGGAGCTAGATCCGTTTTGATTATGGAAACCTGTTGGCAGCTGTATGTTGGAGCAGAAAGATATCGGCAGCAGGACACAGAACACAGCGTGACCCTAACTGGCTGGCATTTGTGGACGACCATGTAACCCCTCCAAGACTACATTTTCTCATCTGCAAAATGACTCCTCTACTTTAGAAATTTGTGCATAGGATAACATGAAATAATATGAAAACATGTAAAAGGGTGAAAAGTGAGTTATCTTTGTCTTGTTTACATAGAAAAAAGAACATCATCATCCCTAGAGCTGTTAACACAATTTTCAAGGAATTCGATTTCCCAATCTCCACATTTATTTGCCGAGCGGCCACGGACAAATTCTTTTATCCGGAGTGGATTAAAATAACGGGGCATGACAGGGGCCGGGGAACCCTAAGCCTGGCATTTTCAGAAACTAAATGGGAGAGTTCTGTAGTTTGGCTAAAAGGCATCGTCCTAGGAAAGACCAGCACTGCGCTCCCCGGGACTGTTTCTGCCGGTTACAAATCGTCACTGAGCTGCAGGGGAACGTCTGGTGGCCATGGGCGGGAGTCCACAGAATGATTCCAGGTAGTGTATTTCAAGGTAACACACATTTAGCTGCCACAAAAGCTTTTTATTATTTCTAAACAGCACAGTGTAAGCAAGAAACAAACGATTTTGCTTGTGTTAGCAGAGCATCTTCAAATACAGAAAAACAAAGCCTGGATATATTCTATCACAAGAAAAACACCATTGCACACCGAGATGCAGCTTAAGATAAGAGAGTGGGGAGGGGGGTGAGGACAGCCACAAGGCACAGAGTGCAGTCGTCTGGGGCAGGGAAGCAGGTCCAATGCCAGTGCTCGTCAGGAACTCTCACCCTGAGCTTCCAGCACGAACTGACGTGCTTGACAAGGTACAGATGCTGATCACAGGGTCACCCAACTTTAACATCATGTCCAGCAAAAGGAGCAAAGAACCCCAAAGCATTTTCCCTCCTAGGTAATTTCAAAGAAATCATGTGATAGAGTTGCAATTACTACGAGGAAACAAAAGGTTCCCAAGAGAGCCACATGGCAGTTCCACAGTTTTTCGAACTCTTGGAAACTACAGCAAAGCAATTTCTTGTGATATATACATATACACAGGTTTCCCCTCCCACCCACAATTCATTCTCTTGTTTTAAAGGAAGAAAAGGAATAACAGGAAAAAAATACTTTTTTTTTTTAAAAAAAGAGTAATTTATACTTTAAAATAACAAGGCATCAAAATACAAGTACACAAGTATATTCTGATTGTTCAAAGTCTATTCTCTCTTTTTTGTTAGAATTTTGAAGGCTGCCTTGGATTTAATGCATAAAAACTCAATGACAACGAACATCACCACCACCACAACAAAAATAGAAGTGGGTTACAGCCCATGCTATTTTGAGGGTAGCAGAGGAGAAGAGGAAAACAGCAGAGCATTGCTTCCTTCACAAAGAGTTCACTGTTTTTAGACAATCGTTTCACTGTAAATAGAGCAATAGGGTAAGAGCTCAGGCTCTCATGGAACAAGTGCAGAGCTCTCTATAGCTGACAGCTGGGGGTCGTTGCTGTAACAGGTTTGCTTGGGAGAGATCGGAACCAGCCTTCCTGTTGGAGAGAATCCTTCTGCCGGGGACAGGAGGCAGTGAGCAGGCAGGTGGGCCGCCCCTGGGGGTGTGGGAAAGAGCGCAGGCAGCACCCAGGGCAGCCGCCACTGGTTTCCCCCGGTGACTGTTTGGGAAATGGGAGTTTGAGACTTACTCACCTTGGGATCCTTTCAGGGAGGCTGTTATGTTAACACGTTGTTATGTCTTCCAAGTGTCTTTTTTTTTTCTTTTTTTCTTTTTCTTTTTAAACATCTTGGCTGGATGGAAGGTCAAAAGCAACCGGACGGGTCAGGCCCTGCGCGGGCCCTGGTGCCCTACCTACCCCAGGTTCATGCCGCTGCAGCCGCAGAGAATCTCCTTGAAGGTGCTGCGCAGCTCCGGGCTCCGGAAGGCGTAGATGAGGGGGTCGATGACCGAGTTGCACATGATGAGGACCAGGTAGGCGTTGAAGTGCGCGGTGTAGCAGATGCAGTGGGGGTTGGTGGGGCAGGCGATGATGAGGACCAGGTGCAGGAAGAAGGGGGCCCAGCAGCAAACGAACACGCCCAGCAGGATGGTGATGGTGACGGCCCCCTTCACGCACGAGTGCTGCTGCGGGGCCACGCCCTCGGCCGGTGGCAGCGCGGCGATGCGCTGGACGTGCAGCCGCGCGAAGAGGAACATGTGCACGTGGAGTGTGCCCATGAGCAGCAGCATGGCGAAGAACATGGTGATGAGGCACACGATGACCGTCTTGCTCTCGGAGTAGACGATGAACACCACGCCGCAGACGCCGCAGCAGACCCAGATGGCCGCGATGAGGGCGAGGGCCTTCCTCACCGTCATGATGCTGTGGTAGCGCAGCGCGTAGGAGATGGTGATGTACCTGTCCACGGCGATGGCCAAGAGGTTGCAGATGGAGGCCACCAGGGAGATGCAGATCATGGAGTCGAAGACGTTGTCCATGTGCTGGATGAACTGGTCCTCCAGGCTCAGGTAGTCGCTGTGGACCACGGCGATCATGATGGTCTCCAGGGCGTTGGACACACTCACCAGCATGTCGGCCACCGCCAGGCTGCAGAGGAAGAAGTACATGGGCGAGTGCAGGTTGCCGTTCCTGACCACGGCCAGGATGACCAGGACGTTTTCCAGCAGGCTGATGATGCCCAGCGCCAGGAAGACCTCGGGCTGGATGAAGACCTGCTCGCAGAACGCGCTGCTGCTCTGGTTGCTGAGGGGAGGCGCTCCGGGGTGCCCCGAGCTGTTGGGCAGCGTGGGCTGCGCGGGGGGCAGGCAGCACGAGGCGTTCATTGCTGGCAGAGGCTGGTCCCAGCCGGGGCTCTGGCAGGTCCGCAGAAGCTGCTGCTGCTTGCAGGAAAAGCGAGGTCTCTCTCCGGATACTTCCTTTGGGTGCGTGTGCAGTCTAGGCTTAGATTTTGTTCTCCCAACAATGAAAGGATAAGGAGGGGAGAGAGAGAGAGAGAGAGGAGAGAGTTAGTAGCTTGGGAGAGAGAGAGAGAGAGAGGAGAGAGTTAGTAGCTTGGAGACATATAGAAAACTTTGCTTCTCCTGGAGGAGTAGTTTTCTAGCTACTCTTATCAGCTGTCTTTTCTTCTCCCCCTGACCCCTCCTCTGCCTCTCCTCACATTTCCACCTGGGATCAGAAAATCTGCCACTGGTTGCTACAGTTACGACTCTTTTCCTGAGTGGAGGGAGCACACTCAGGTTTTATATATCAGCCAAGGGCAAACAACTCCTACTTGATGTTCAACGCAGCGAAATGACCACTGAGCATCAGGCACCTCTCTGACTGACAGCGGGTCCCTGCTCCGGGCTTCCGCGGGAGATGAAAAGGCACGCTGTGCCCTCTGCAGGCCAGACTGGTCCTCTGCTCGCTGCGTGCCGAGCCGTTGGAATTTGTCATGGAAACGGCCACGGGCATCCGTTCCTTGCATCCGCTTGTTTGTCCTTTCGTTTGTTCGTTCATTCATTTTTTGTTGCTTGAGTAAACATTTCTTGAGCGCCTACTGTGTGTCGGGTCTCTGCTAGGTGCAGGGAACATAGTGGTGAGCAAAACAGCTGCTGTCCCAGAGTCTGGGGTGGGAGAAGAGAAAACAGGCAACAAGTGCTCGAATCAGGAAAGTCCAGGGGGCTGGGGGAGCAAAGAGGAGGGGCCCTAACCTGGATGGTCAAGGAAAGTTCCTGGAGGAAGAAACATTAGACTTTGATTTCAAGGAAGAAGAGGTGATAGCGGGGGCTGGGGGCAGGTTGTGGCGTGGGGGATGGGGGTGAAGGAGGTGGAAGAGGATTCTAGGCAGAGAGAGCAACATGCCTGCAGCCCGGACGCAAAGGGAGTCAGCCTCAAATGTGGCTGTGGGGGTCCCGCCCCACCTACTGAATCAGAGTCACCCAGCGGTAGAACCCGCATAAGTGTGTTTTCAATTTTCGACAGGTGAGCTTTGACATGGCCAGGGTTGAAATCTGCTGAAAAGGAAGCTTGGGGTTTTTGAAGCACTGAAAGTAGTTTGCTCTGGCCAGAGTGTGGAACTGGGAGACACAGTCTAAGAAATGAGGCTGCAAAGATATATATTTTTTCAAGGGTGCGAGGTGCCTAAACCCTGCAGGACAGCAGCAGCTGTGTATGGGAGCTTGGATGGTACCCTGGAGGCAGCGGGGGCTGTGGAAGGATTTAGGTAGGGTGGGAATGAGATGGGGTCTGTGTTTTAGAACGATTCCTGGTTGCAGGTGGAGAATGGATCGGAAGGGATGAGAGCGCAGTTAGGGAGTCCAGGGTTGCAGGCACTGCAGAGCCCCAGGCTGAGATGACGGTGACCTGGAGCAAGGGCATGGAAGTGCGGATGTGGAGTGCACAGAGATATTTAAGAGGTAGAATTATGGGGAATTGAGACCGATTGGATACAGGGACATGGGAGGGAGCAGCCAGAAATACCTCCACTTTCTTCTTAAGTAATGGGGAAGATGGAGATATTTTATGCTGGGAAATGTAAAAGGCAGAATTTAGCAGTTGGGCTACTAATGTGGTGCTGTACTTGGAAATATGGTTTAGTACTTGGTTCATTTTGTTCATGTTAGATTTGATTATGCACATGGATCATATATGCTCAGAAAATGGAGTCCTCTTATCCCTACACACACACACACACACACATTCTAGATGGATTAATGATCCATCCATCATCTAACTATGTATGTGGATGTGTGTGAAATAGAAAAAATATGCACAGGAAAATAGGAGTCTTATAAAACCTTGGGGTGGAGAGATATTCTTAAACAAGATAGGCATTCCAAAATTTTGTATGGAAAATAGCACCATAAACGAAGTCAAGAGACAAACTGAAAGAAAACATTTGCCCTAGGCAAGGGTTACTATCTCCTATATGCAAAGAATCATTTCACATTAATAGGAAAGTGATGAATTATCTGTTAGAAAATTGGACAGAAGATATAAATAGTAATTCACTGAAGAGGAAATATAAATGGCTAATAAGCATATGAAAAGATGTTACACCTTATGGGGAGTCAGGAAAATGCAAATCAAAATGAGATTTCTATATGATTTTTCCAGTGGACTGACAAGAATCAAAAAGTTATCAAATTCAGGAGAGAATGTTGGGAGAAGGACACTCTTGCATTCCTAGTGTTTGTGAATAGTTTCATCATTTGGAATTTTCTATTAAAATAAAAAAAACATGTGGGTATAAATCTCAGTCTATGAACTGAGGGGCATGAGAAATAGCACTTTTGTTTATTTTCAGCAGAGCAACTTAATTTCTGATGCTAAGTCACTGTTCTTCCAGGTTGGGGAAAAGTACATTATTAATCCTTTCGGGGCCTTCTCACGCTCAGGGTCACATCCAGAGGTGCATTTATACTATCACAGTCTGTGGTTTCAAGGGCACTAGTTTTACCTGCAAAGCTAGATTATAAGTAGGGACCATTCACTATCTACTAGGTCTTTGCCTGCTCTGTGCTTGGCATGGGCTGGGCATGGGCTATCTTTCCCTGCTTCCATTCTCTAGTTATGTGCATCCTTCAGAGAGAACAGATGGGATCTTGCACTTGAAACCTGTGTCCTCGGAGGTATCGTCATTGCTAATGAGTGTTCATTTGGTTTTCTCTGAATATTACTTCCCACTTTCCTGGTGGAGCTATACAGATGCAGTATTACTTTTTAATTGAATCTTATATAAATGAATTGGATTTATTAATAATAATTGCAAGACAGTCCCTGTCAGTATTTGCCATATGTTGTTGGCATACACGGGCAAGTCTGTTTTTGATCTGTTATAATAAACTGTAATAAGAAGATTCTTTTTCTAGGAGGTAACCCATCCAGATGCTCTATATACCTAAAAAGCTCTTCCTCAATTTTGTACCTGGTATACTCCTCTTGTCCTTCAAGATCCAGCTTCAATGCCAACCATTGCTTACAGCTTTCCTCAAATTCTATATAACAGTTAACCACCCTTCCCTCCCCACTGCCAAGCCGACAGGGTTTAGCACTCCTTCCTCACTCTCAAAAGTACAAGCCACAAGGAAACACCAAAACCAAAAAAACCCATGAATTGGACTTTATCAAAATCAAAAAACTTTTGTATCTTAAATTACCACCAAAAAAGGGAGAAGACAACACACAGAATATGAGAAAATAATTGTGAATCAGATATCTAATGATTTGAATCTAGACTATATAGAGAACATTTGCAACTTAGTAATAAAAACACAGATAGCCCAATTGATAAATAAGCAGCAAAGGAATTGAGTAGACATTTCACCAAAGAATATATCAAATGTCCAGCAAGAACATTAAAAAAAAACTCTTAGGGAAATAGTAAATACACTAAAAACCATTGAATTGTATACTTTAAACAGGTGCATTTTATGGTATGTTAATGTTATCTCAATACAGCTGTTTTTAAAAATGACATGCAGAATGTTGCATAATTAGAAGTCACATCCATGCCACTAAAAGGGGATGATATTGACAGTGGTCATATTAGAACACAATTATTAGTTTTATTGTTAATCTGAACTTTTCCTGAGGGGCAGATGCGGCTGCCTCTCCACTCCTCTCCTGCCTCTGACTTCAGCAGCCGCTTGCTGGACAGTTCCTTGCCAGCTCAGACTCACTTGCTGTGGGCTGGGAGATTTCAACCACATCCTGCCCTAAGGCAGACCTGAACTAATGAGAGAGGGAGCCAAAAGACATTCTTCAGCCTCCTGTCCTCAGGTGGACGATGGTAGATGCTGCTTATACTTTTTAATGTCTCCCTGACATTGAACCCCTGTCACCTAATGCAGCAGCCTTGATAATGTTTCTTATTATTGGCTTTTCCTCCTCACCTATCTCGTTCTCCCTTTGCCCTCACACCTGTATCCTGGAGTCACTTTCTGAATAAATTACTTGCTCCCAAGTCCCTGTAGGATAAAAGGGAGTCTTGGGTGGGACTTCTGTGGAGATAGCCCAACTAACCCACCCAGAAAACTCAACTGGCACAAACTTTTCTGCTCTTTACTATTTCTCCTTTTTGCTCTCTGGAATGATGACATGAAGGCTGGAGCTCCATCCTCCACTTTGTGAGTCTGAAGACAAGGACCAGATCCTATGAGTGTCGATCCCAAACCTAGAACAGTTCTGAATCCTTGATAACTTTATAGAGAGGTAGTCACAGCCCTGAATTGTTTGCCTCCAGATTTCTAGTTATATATGAGAGAAAAAAATAACCCTTTATTTGCTTAAACTCTCATAATGTAGGGTTTTCTGTTCCATACAGTTGAACTCAGCCCTGACAGAAGACCTTCTCTATTTTCATGCCGACAATCTTAATTATATAAAGCCCTGATGGACTCTACTACTTAGGTAAAAAGGAAGTGATTCCATTTGTCTGTAAATTTATCTGTAATTTTCTCAGCTATTAGACCATATACTGCTTATGGGTAGAAACTGACCTGTTCATCTTTATATGCCAGCATCTGGCACAATACTTCTACATTCTCTTATTTATGTATTTATGTATGTATGTATTTATTAGAGATGGACTCACACTATGTGGCCAGGCTGGATTTGAATTCTTAGGCTTAAGTAATCCTCCTGCCTCAGCCACCTAGGTAGCTGGGATTACAGGCACATGCCACTGTGCCTGGCTGAATACTTCTATATTCTTAAATGACATACAATAGACAGCCTCAAAATAATATTGCAATACTGCCATTTTGGAAAACAGTTTTGCAGTTTCTTTAAAAGTTAAACATAAACTTACCACATAACTTAGCGGTTCCTCTCCTAAATATCTACTCTAGAAAAATATGCCCACACAAAGACTCGAATGTGAATGTTCATAGCAGCATTATTCACAATTGCCAAAATGCAGACAACCTAATGTCTATCAGATGGTGTCGAGACAGACAAGATGTGGTACATCCATACAATAAA